TTTTTTATAAGTTTGAACTATTGTCATATCCTCCTGTTCGAATGCCAAGAAAATCGAGCAAAACCCATTGTCTACTTTTTTATTTCATCAGTTTGTCCGTATTTAAACACTTTTCACATGTGTTAATTTCTTTGTTGTAATGGATTTATCATCACAAGATTCTGTTACATACAGATGAAAAGATTTTAAGGTTGTTCTTTCAATAAAGGAAAAAACTGTGTCTCTTAGCTGGTTTAGCTGCTTTCAAGAATTATGAAATACCACGCTTTAGAAGTTTCTTACAATTCGCAATTATTTCATTCCTTTCTTCTTAAAAAGCACGACGATTTGAAGGACATCTTTTTAGTATTTTTAATTAGTAATGAACAATGTAAATGTCCATCACTCTGAAATAATATAATCTTTTCTGTCTAAATAAGCCAACAAGTACATCATTCTGCATAATGTTGTTTGCTTCGTGATAAAACTTGATATGGCTTAATTTGTTCGATCGTTACAGAAATGGTTTCTGTGATTTATTCCTCCTCAATCCTTCTTTATTCATGAAATCTGTGAATCGATTCGTGCAATCTTGTAACAATAAATGACAAGTTTTCTTCAATGTTTTTGAAAGCATACATTTATTTGTGAATTCTTTTCTCTAAATTAGAAATTATTAGAGAAAGAAGTTATTTAGGTATTTGAGTTTAAACAGGAATTAGCGTGAATTGATAGTAAGGGTAAAAACAAAAATGTAACAGCTGAAATAAGATCATGTATAATTAATGATGAGAGACATTATTATAGTCATAGATTTGCAAATGTTGCAAGTACAGTATTTTTTGAAAAAGAATTTCTTTTTGTCAGTAAACATTGCTAGAAAATAAAAACATTTTACAGAAATAGCTAAAATTGTACTAAATAATAAATTAATGTCATTTTACAACAAAAATAATTTGTTGTCACCAAGTTAACATGGCTTCAGAGGAAAACAACAACACTGGATGCATTAATCNTATTTTTAGGAAATGTAATTTATGCATGTATTGAAATGACTTCTGTGATTTTATATAATATACTTATCAAATAATAATAAATAAATGTATGTACCCGATTAAATTTATTATTATTTACGTAAAATAAGTAATTCACTTTTAGTTATAGTTAGAGTTTTTTTATGGCACTCAGTTATAAGGCCTGTATACATCTAACGCAGTAATTATAAAATTTACATACAAAAATATAAGGGGTACTTGAGAAACAATTAATGGGCTATTGGGGTACATCAACAAAAAAGGTTGAGAAACACTGTTATATTCGAATTAAAATGTCTTTGACAATTTTAGGTCTGCAAGAACGACACTTGTCTTTTTTCAAGTTTTGTTAAAGAAATTGCTGTGATTAAAGTAAATAAAAATGTGAAATTTATTGAAAAGTTATTCAACCTGCTTCACGTTTTGCTTTAAATATAACTTACCCGTGATTATAAAAAAATGTAAAAGAATTGCTTGAATAAAAGAAACATTGCTTTGTACAGTAAAAAGCTGGACGTAGATTTGTGAAATACTGAAATTTTAAAAAAGTAATAACGAAAATAGAAATAAACATAAAGCACTGTAATATGTTTTTTAAAGTGCCTTTTTTCTATATAGTATCACAAATAACAGTCACAGTTTAACTGAGTAACTTTTTATTCAAATGCTGAGCAATCATCCACTTTGTTAGGATTTGTATCTTCTTTCCAATCTTTAATTTCGAAACTCGTGCTTTTCTTAATTTGTGAAAGCGAATTTTCTGTTCATTATAATAACCTCCCTGTTTATGTTCACACTGGTACAAAGAGCAATATCAAACCATTGTTCAGTGGTGTAGCGTGGGTGTCAGCCGCCCGGGGCGGAGGAAAATTTCACCGCCCCCTTATTTAGGTATCTCAATTTAAAAGACTAAAATTCAGTTTCGTCACAGAATAAGTAATAAAAAATTCCGTTCTAGTGTTGCCACGTTTTTAAAATCGCCAACCCTGACGGCAGGTGAGGTTTGTTCGAACAGAAGTTCCTGACGCATGCGTATATCATTTTGCAATGGGAAGAATAATTTGCAGTGCATGCCTGTTCTAAATCAGTTACAGTTAGCGACTAGTGAGACTTGGTAGGAGTAACGTAAGTAACGTAGATGAGTTAGCTCTATTGGATATTGGAGATGTGTATGAATACGAATGAATGAATCGTATAAGCAAAAAAAAAAAAAAATTACCATCGGACGGCGAGTCGGATGGTAACACTATTCCATGCTCATTTTAATCGGTCCGAATCATAGGTGCGACAAAAGTATGAAATAAAATGGTTCAAATTTTTACAAGTTATTATTATTGTTTATTGTGAAATTTTGCCGCCCCTAAAAAGTGCCTCCCGGGTCGGGCCGCCCCAGCCGCCCCCCTACACTACGCTACTGCTATTGTTTTAATACAAAGCAAAAAGATGCATTATCCTGGAATGATAACCACGTTTTTTACATTTCACTAGCGCCACCACAAAATGCGTTGGCAGCCGTGAGAGAGAATATAATTGTCGCAGTAATTAAGTGAACATAAAACAGTGGAACCTCGGTATACGACCTTAATCTGTTCCTGATGTTTGGACTTATACCGAATAAAACATATACCAAACCAACCGTTCCCATAAGAAGTAATGTAAAAATAATTAATCCGTCCTCATGTAAAAAAAAAATGGCTGGCTTTTTACACCTCGCTTTCCTGGCTAGTTCCTGCTTGATTTTTCACGAGATCAGCGTGTATCTTTTTAGCTTTCTCGCAAATAATTGCTTCTGATAAGCTGTCTCTAGCACACTGTTTTCCAGTTATCCAAAGCAAAAGCAATTTCTCAACCTGATCTAATCTCTTCGATCTCTGTTTATAAATTGATTTAACTTCTTTCCCGACGTTAGCAAATTTAATAATGTCTTTATTTTTCACGATTGTCGATATCGTCGTTCTCGGAATACGGTACACAACAGTTAAATCTCGAACGCGCATGCCACCTTCATGTTTCTCAATAATCTCTTTTTTCAGTTTCATTGTAATTCTAGTCATTTTTTTTTACTTTTCTGTTGCTTTTCATTTCCCTTTTTGCAATTCATGATTAATAAAAATAATAAAATTTTACTTACAAATTAAAATCAGAAGAAATTTAACAAAGTAATAAACCATGGCACCGCGAACGTCTACTCTGGTCTAATACACAGATAGTGCAACTTATTCATAGATGGCGCGTATAATTGAATTAAGTAGTATACCGAGCAAAATTTGTTTCGTCCAAACAGGACGTATTCCAAATTGGACGTATTCTAAAGCAGACGTATACCGTATTTGTTTTTTTTTTCTTTTTTTATTACAATGGTGCCTCGTACTTCGAACTTAATTCATTTCAAGAGGGCGTTCGAAGTCTGAATGAAATTTTCCCATTACAAATAATGGAAAATGAATTAATTCATTCCCAAACCCGAACAATACCTATTTCGATAAACTTAAATCAGCAAATACACATAATTTAAGATAAAAATAACATAATTAAATGCCCGAATAATGAACTAAAACACAAAAACCATAAATAAAATACGTAAATCCTGTATAATAAAACGAAATTTGCATTTATTGATGTTACAGTACATCGTGATACTTGGCATCTTAACATAAATGTGTGACTTAATTATAATAGTTGTGAAATTTAACATATATTAAGTGTGAGATTTTATTCGTTTAGAAGCTTGTTTCAAATTTCACATTTTATTCGAATAATTAACATTAAATTGTAATGTCTTCGGATAACAGCATATCGGGCACATTATACCTTAAGAGTTTCGAAAAGGATATAACGCCATACAAACAGTAAAACAATAAATTATAATTTGTATGGGAAAGATGCAACTAAACTTTGAACGTGTCAAATATGGTTTAAAAAGTTCTGTTCGGGAAATTTTAAACCTAAGTATGCAAAACGTTTAGAAGCTGTCGAAAAATAAGATTGCAGGAAGATATTGTGAAAAATTGACAAACAATACACAATACAGTATATACTAGAAATTCTTCCGTCAAGCTTGACTGAATATTTTTATGAGAAAGTAGAGATTGAAGAATTGAGATGAGCTTCAAGTCGAGCAGAAACAGCATCACAATGTCAAGCTCGACTTGACATTGTGATGCTGTTTCTGTAGCCATTGACAAAGCCATTCTTATTCGATGTTGCTCAAGTCAGATTTCAGGCCTTTCAGGGTTCTCAGTTGTTCTTATTCTTTTATTACCTGACCAATTTTACTCTTTCGCTTTTCCCTAGACATTTTTTATTCGACAAAATAGCAAGTATTTTTAATTCCATGTTGATAAAACAAAGATGAATTGTATGTATTGTACATTAATTAGATGAGCGATAATACTTCCTACATAACGGGCTCGTAAGATCTTTACTTTCGATCGGATCTTTTTATAATGACCACGTGATGTCTTACGTGGTCATTATGAAAAGATTTTTAAAAATAATTTGTTATAGATGTGACACGATGCGGCTACATTTTTAAAGTTTAAATTTTAAATGTAATGAAGTATGTTTATAATGCGTCATTTGCCAAAATATTTTAAAATGGAACTTAAAGGAAATTCCCTCGTTGAGCATGAACGTCACGTGGTCACTAATGTCACTGAAATGTAAGTGGGATCCCTGATCCGAAATCAATAAAATGTTTATATAGTTAACATTTTGGCCAAATAAGTAGTCTATACTTTCCAACAAAACAAATAATGATACTGTATAATCAAAGTTTCAATTGTATTAAACAAAGATTGCAGGAGTTATAAGGAATTCACACACACAGACCACAGCTTTCAGTAATACCCAAAAACAGCAAAAAAAAAAAAACCGAATAAAGCATTGAAAACATACAAGCATAACGAAAGAGGTAGAGCAACAGATGACTTGAACAGATAACGGATTGTGTTTACGCTTCGAACAAATTTTTCATTGCATGCGCAGTTCGAATTTCGAAGCATCGTTCAAACACGGAGATGAATTTTTGTCTAATTTTGCACTTATACTAAAGCGTTCGATTTTAGAGTAGTTCGAAATAAGAGATACCGCAGCTTATCCTATTTTTTGTATGAATTATATTTAGTTTATTATTTTTAAAAATTTTTGCCAATAGAAAGAACTTCATGTAAATCGATTATAGACAGAAAGTAATTCACTTATAAAAGTTCAATGAATGTTTTTGGGTGAAATGTACGACATTATCTGAGTTAGAAGCCGAGGGTTCTAACTCAGATAACCGAGTTTCTAACCGAGTCTTCCGAGGTTCGTAGCAATTGATCGAACGGTCTAGGAATGTATAGCGAACAAACAAACAAACATCCTCATATAAATATATAGATTTTGCTTTTTTAAAACGGTTAATAATAGAAATGATTCGTAATCAAACTGGAATTTAAGAATACAGTAGAGCATCGATTATATGACCCCCGATCGGTTAATCGACCGTTCTAATCCGCAAATTTCAAATGTCCGCTAGTGATGTGGCGCTACAATATTTGGCTGTCTTGGCTACTTTAATATTATTTTTGTTAAATTTTTGCGTGTTTTAGCTGGCAACACTGGCTNATTTATTTATGTATTAGTGTATATAATTATATCGTTTGAAATGGCGCAGCTTGGCCTATGCGGCTCTTGTGCCAATAAACACTAACCAACAAACCATTTTGCCGCCCCCTAAAATGTGCCGCCCGGGGCGGGCCGCCCCTGCCGCCCCCTACGCTACGTTACTGCCATTGTTTCAATACAAAGTAAAAAGATGCATTATCCTGGAATGACAATCACATTTTTACATTTCACTAGCGCCACCACAAAATGCGTTGGCAGCCGTGAGAGAGAATATAATTGTCACAGTAATTAAGTAAACATAATATTTGTTTTTTCTTTTTTTATTACAATGGTGCCTCGTACTTCGAACTTAATTCATTTCAAGAGGGCGTTCGAAGTCTAGATGAAATTTTCCAATTACCAATAATGGAAAATGAATTAATTCATTCCCAAACCCCAACAATACCCATTTCGATAAACTTAAAGCAGCAAATACACATAATTTAAGATAAAAATAACATAACTAACTGTCCGAATAATGAACTAAAAGAACCATAAATAAGATACGTAAATCTTGTATAATAAAAAGAAATTTGCATTTATTGATGGTACAGTACATCGTGATACTTGGCATCTTAACATAAACGTGTGACTTAATTATAACAGTTGTGAAATTTAACATATATTAAGTGTGAGATTTTATTCGTTTAGAAGCTTGTTTCAAATTTCACATTTTATTCGAATAATTAACATCAAATTGTAATGTCTTCGGATAACAGCATATCGGGCACATTATACCTTAAGAGTTTCGAAAATGATATAACGCCATACAAACAGTAAAAAAATAAATTATAATTTGTATGGGAAAGATGCAACTAAACTTTGAACGTGTCAAATATGGTTTAAAAAGTTCTGTTCGAGAAATTTTAAACCTAAGGATGCAAAACGTTTAGAAGCTGTCGAAAAATAAGATTGCAGGAAGAAATTGTGAAAAATTGACAGACAATACACAATACAGTATATACTAGAAATTCTTCCGTCAAGCATGACTGAATATTTTTATGAGAAAGTAGAGATTGAAGAATTGAGATGAGCTTCAAGTCGAGCAGAAACAGCATCACAATGTCAAGTCGAGCTTGACATTGTGATGCTATTTCCGCAGCCGTTGACAAAGCCGTTCTTATTTGATGTTGCTCAAGTCAGACTTCAGGCCTTTCAGGGTTGTCAGTTGTTCTTATTCTTTTATTACCTGACCAATTTTACTCTTTCGCTTTTCCCTAGACATTTTTTATTCGACAAAATAGCAAGTATTTTTAATTCCATGTTGATAAAACAAAGATGAATTGTATGTATTGTACGTTAATTAGATGAGCGATAATACTTCCTACATAACGGGCTCGTTTACTTTCGATCGGATCTTTTAATAATGACCACGTGATGTCTTACGTGGTCATTATGAAAATATTTTTTTAAAAAATTTGTTATAGATGTGACACGATGCGGCTACATTTTTAAAGTTTAAATTTTAAATGTAATGAAGCATGTTTATAATGCGCCATTTGCCAAAATATTTAAAAATGGAACTTAAGGGAAATTCCCTCGTTGAGCATGAACGTCACGTGGTCACTAATGTCACTGAAATGTAAGTGGGATCCCTGATCCGAAATCGATAAAATGTTTATATAGTTAACATTTTCGCCAAATAAGTAGTCTATACTTTCCAACAGAACAAATAATAAACATAATCAAAGTTTCAATTCGATTAAACAAAAATTGCAGGAGTTATAAGTCATTCACACAGACAGACAACAGCTTTTATTAATACCCAAAAACAGCAAAAAAACCGAATAAAGCACTGAAAATATATAAGCATAACGAAAGAGGTAGAGCAACAGATGACTTGAACAGATAACGGATTGTGTTTACGCTTCGAGCACATTTTTCATTGCGCGCGCAATTTTTTGTCTAATTTTGCATTTAAACTGAAGCGTTCGAATTTAGAGTAGTCCGAACTACGAGATACCGCTGCTTATCCTATTTTTTTTGTATGAATTATATTTAGTTTATTATTTTTAAAAGTTTTTGCCAATAGAAAGAACTTCATGTGAATCGATTATAGACAGAAATTAATTCACATATAAAAGTTTAATGAATGTTTTTGGGTGAAATGTACTGAAACTGCCGAGATTGATCGAACGATGTAGGAATGTATAGCGAACAAACAAACATCCTCATCTAAATATATATTTTGCTTTTTGAAACGGTTAATAATAGAAATGATTCGTAATCAAACTGGAATTTAAAAATACAGTAGAGCATCGATTATCCGAACCCCGATCAACCGTCACATCTGTTAGTCGACCATTCTAGTCGGCAAATTTCAAATGTCCGCTAGTGATGTTTGTACAATACTTGGCAGTGTTGGCTACTTTAATATTATTTTTGTTAAATTTTTGCGTGTTTTAGCTGGCAACACTGGCTTGCCATGAAAGGGAGCCCAGTATTTAAACGAGGCTTAATTTTCTAATTATGAGTGGTTGTTTGTTTTGTGAGCAATAAAATAATTTAAAAATAATTTTTAACGATACAATAGCGACGATTATTATTTAAAAAAAAATTTTGTTAGGTTTAACATCGATGAAAATTCAACGCGAAGTGGGATAATAGCGTTATACTAATATAGGCCTACTAATTACATGGGATATACTAATATACTATACTAATAATGTATTTTTTCATATTTTTCGGTTATCCGTTTTTTCAGTTATCCAACCAACCCCAGTCCCCAATTGAGTCGGATAATCGATGCTCTACTGTAATGAAATATTATTTCCTCATTTGCTGACATGTTTTGATGAAACAACGCGTTTTTTCTTTTATCTATACTAATCAGGGCTGTGGAGTTGGAGTCAGAGTCGTGGAGTTTTGGTGTTTTAGCCGGAGTCGGAGTCGGATGGTAAGGAAAAGTCGGAGTCGGAGTCGGAGTTGGAGTCAGTAGATTTTTACACGACTTCCACAGCCCTGGCAGGGCTGTTGAGTCGGAGTCGTGGAGTTTTGGTGTTTTAGCCGGAGTCGGAGTCGGATGGTAAGGAAAAGTCGGAGTCGGAGTCGGAGTTGGAGTCAGTAGATTTTTACGCGACTCCACAGCCCTGATACTAATATTATAAAGAGGTCATGTTTGTAAGTATGTAAGTTTGTATGCAGCAGGTAATCCCCGAAACTACTTATTTGATTTCAAAAATTCTTTCACCAATATTTAGAATGGAACTTCGGGGTGGACATAGGCTGTATATTATTCCGTTAAACATTCATATAAATTAAAAGATATAATCTAGGTTAAGGATTTTATGTCCAACAGATGGCGCTACGAGTATGACGCCCTAAGTTTGCTTTTCTGTGAGACATTATGCTTTTCTGTGAAAATGAACTAAAGCAGATCATCTTCTATCTATCTATATAAATAAAAATGTAATGTTCGTTTGTTCCTACCTCCTTTGAAATTTTGACACAGCGCTGCATTCGAATACGCAGATGTTTTTATATACAGTAATATACAGTAATATACATGTCGAAATTCAACCCCACTGAAGGGAGATGGTTAGGATTAAGGCTTACGGTAAAGAACTCTGCTTCTATTTATACTATTTTAGATGATGGTTTTTGCGTTTTTGGTTGCGTTTTAATAGGGTACGTCAAGAGAATGTACACAAAGTAGATATTTTTCTAAAAATTCCCCCCGGGGGGAGTGTTATAAATTTATTTTGAGCCACAACAACGCGTGGCAAGGTCTGCTAGTTTTTAATAAAGTAGCAAAAAGTTATAATACAGATATAAGGAACTGAATGTATATGTTTAATTATAAAAACTGTATATGATTAGAATTTTTATTTTACGTCATCTTTAATAAAATATCATTAAAACAATTATTATCTGTTCAAACTATAGGAACAAAGCGGAAAACATTTTTGCATACCTTATCAATCGAACGTTTATACTTGCATTCATTCGAAGCTAAACCATTAAATCTTTGGCTGCCAATGGCATTTGAAATAAAGTGGAGGGTCTGCATAATTCTATTTATTCTTCTCTCCTGCATCCAAGGAAAACCGCCTCACATTATCTTTTATTTAGTCGATGACCTTGTAAGTATTTCCATCAATTATTATGAGGCTTTAATTAAGAATTAGTTATGTGGACAAAAAGAAATTTAAATTTTTTTATGATTATTATATTTTATATGTATACTGTATATGTATATGTAGTATCATATAACGATAATATTATGAATAGGGATGGAACGACGTAAGTTTTCACGGATCTTTACAAATACCGACTCCGAATATTGACGTTTTGGCTGCTAATTCAATACTCTTAGATAATTATTACGTTCAACCCCTGTGCACCCCATCAAGAGCTGCGTTACTTACTGGAAAACATCCGATACATTTAGGTAAGTTTATAGAAATATGTTTCAATCATCAATATTTAAACATATCAAAAAGTTTTTATTGTTAAAATATATACTTTAGAATTTTCACAAACAGAATTAATGAACTTGTCGATATAAATTCAGGTCTGCAGCATCTTGTTATTCGCACTGCTGAGCCAAGTGGATTACCATTGGATGTGAAAACTTTACCTCAATATTTGAAAAAATTCGGTTATCGAAGTCACGGCGTTGGAAAGGTTTGTTTTAATGAGTAATATGCATGAAAATATTAACTGCCATTTTATATAACTTGAAATGCATACAGGATGTTTCGTAAAAATTGCAGGCATATTCATTTTTGTTCGATTTGAATTATAAGTGAAATTTACTTTTTCAAAAATAAATTTATGTTTCATTAAATTTGTAAATATCAAATCAAATTCATGAGATTTACATTTCGATATCACAATCAATTTCTGATTTAATTAAAACATTAAGGGCCAGAATAGAGAGGCATAAAATATCACACCTTGCCATGCTTTTATTTTTTATGGACAAAATAACACAAAAATTATGATCATTAAATGTAATATTAAATGTAATATACCTTTGTCTTTATTATTGAAAAACAGTTTTTCCGTCGATTTTTAGGCGTGTTGCAGAATTACAACACGTGGCCCAAGTGATCTTTTTCTGATCGTGTTATGTCGTCTTTTATGCCCATCGGGTTCTAAATACAACAAAACTTCTACTACATAAACGAATAAATTCATAGTTGCATAAATGGACTAATACACATCTAAGAAAAAAAAATAATCACTGAAATAATGCAGTTACTATTTTTGTTCACTAACAGCAAATATTCTTTCTCAAATATTTGTTTTTGTGTTTTCTATTTTCGTGATATTGCACTAATTCACGTTCATTATACATGAAAAACATCAGATAAAAAACAAATTTTGCATATTTTTCATATTTGACAGGAGAAAAATTAAATTTCCATCTGCATTCTGATATAAAATATTTACTGAGACAAGTGCAATTTTTATTCCACAGGCCATGCTCTTGCTATTTTCATTACGTGTATTATAGCTAGTCTATTGCTCCAAAATAACACAGCGCATATTTTTCAAATGGAAGTGTTTCTCCTCATTACAAACTTACAGCGAATAAAAGAATTGAAATTGCATTACACGAAAAGGATAAAAATACAGACATGCATTATATTTTTATTTAAAACTATGATTGGTTGCTTGACTCAAATATAATATCAAGTGAATATATTAACCTCACAACTGGGATGTGGTTTTATGCAAATACATAGNATCGATGTTCTACTGTGATGGAATATTATTTCCTTATTTGCCTGACATGTTTTGATGAAAACAACGCGTTTTTTCTTTTATTTGTTAATAAAGTAGCAAAAAGTTATAATACAGATATAAGTGATTGAATGTATATGTTTAATTATAACAACTGTATATGAATAGGATTTTTATTTTACGTGATCTTTAATAAAATATCATTAAAACAATTATTATCTGTTCAAACTACAGGAACAAGGCGAAAAACAGTTTTGCATACCTTATCAATCGAACGTTTATACTTGCATTCATTCGAAGTTAAACCATTAAACCTTTGGCTGCCAATTGTATTCGAAATGATGTGGAGGGTTTGCACAATTCTATTTATTCATCTTTCCTGCATCCAAGGAAAACCGCCTAACATTATCTTTTATTTAGTCGATGACCTTGTAAGTAATTCCATCAATTATTATGAGGCTTTAATTAAGAATTAGTTTTGTCGACGAAAAGAAATTTGAATTATTTTATTATTATTATATTTTATATGTGTACTGTACCTATATATATATATATAGTATCATATAACGATAATATTATGAATAGGGATGGAACGACGTAAGTTATCACGGATCTTTACAAATACCGACTCCGAATATTGACGTTTTGGCTGCTAATTCAATACTCTTAGATAATTATTACGTTCAACCCATATGCACCCCATCAAGAGCTGCGTTACTTACTGGAAAACATCCAATACATTTAGGTAAGTTTATAAAAATATGTTTCAATCATCAATATTTAAACATATCAAAAAGTTTTTATTGTTAAAATAAATGTTTTAGAATTTTCACAAACAGAATTAATGAACTTGTCGATATAAATTCAGGTCTTCAGCATCTTGTTATTCTCACTGCTGAGCCAAGTGGATTACCATTGAATGTGAAAACTTTACCTCAATATTTGAAAAAATTTGGTTATCGAAGTCACGGCGTTGGAAAGGTTTGTTTTAATGAGTAATGTGCATGAAAATATTAACTGCCATTTTATATAACTTGAAATGCATACAGGATGTTTCGTAAAAATTGCAGGAATATTCATTTTTGTTCGATTTGAATTATAAGTGAAATTTACTCTTTCAAAAATAAATTTACGTTTCATTAAATTTGTAAATATCAAATCAAATTCCATGAGATTTACATTTCGATATCACAATCAATTTCTGACGTAATTAACACATTAAGCGCCAGAATAGAGAGGCATAAAATATCACACCTGGCCATAATTTTATTTTTTATGGACAAAATAGCACAAAAATTATGATCATTTGATATACTTTTGTCTTTATTATTGAAAAACAGTTTTACCCTCGATTTTTAGCCGTGTTGCAGAATTACAACACGTGGCCCGAATGTTCTTTTTCTGATCATATTATGTCGTTTTTTATGCCTATCGGGTTCTAATTACAACAAAACTTCTACTGCATAAACGAATAAATTCATGATTGCATAAATGGACTAATACACATCTAAGAAACATAGAATAATCACTAAAATAATACAGTTACTATTTTTGTTCACTAACAGAAAATATTGTTTCTCAAATATTTGTTTTGTGTTATGTTACTTGAGAAACAATTTTAGATACAATTGTTTGTCAAAAATTGTTTCTCAAATATTTTTATGATATTGCACTAATTCACGTTCATTATACATGAAAAACATCAGATAAAAAACAAATTTTGCATATTTTTCATATTTGACAGGAGAAAAATTAAATTTCCATCTGCAAGCTCATATAAAATCTTTACTGAGTCAAGTGCAATTTTCATTTCCACAGGCCATGCTCTTGCTATTTTCATTACGTGTATATGGCTAGCCTATTGCTCCAAAATAACATAGCGCATATTTTTCAAATCGACGTGTTTCTCCTCATTACAAACTTATAGCGAGTAAAAGAATTGAAACTGCCTTACACGATAAAAATAATAATACAGACATCCATTATATTTTTATTTAATACTGTCATTGGTTGCTTGACTCAAATATAATATCAAGTGAATATGTTAACCTCACAACTTGGATGTCGTTTTATGCAAATACGTAGTATATACCGAAATATTTATTTTATAAATATTTTATATAGAAAATAGTTATTTTTAGGATTTATTGTCATTCATATATTTTCGTAAAATTGATTGTTATATTTTTTTCTGATAAAAAGTAAATGCGTTTCAGTGGCATTTAGGGTTTTACAAAAAAGAATATTTTCCAACAAGAAGAGGATTCGATTCGTTTTTTGGGTTTTGGCCGGACGGAATGGATTATTACGAATATACTACATTTGAAACTTACGAAAATTCTACTTTAAAGGCAATTATTATTTTATATAATTCCATAGTTTCAAATCTAAATACAACGGTGCCTCGTACTCTGAATTTAATTCATTCCAGGAGGAAGTTCAAGCTTCAAAACGTTCGAAGTCCGAAACAATTTGTTCCATTAGAAATAATAAAAGAATTAATTCATTCCGAGACACAAACCTTAACTCATTTCCATAAACTTAAAACAACAAATACACACAATATAAAGTAAAAATAACACAACTAAATGCCCTAATAATAAATTAAAACACGAAAACAATAAATAAATACTGTATAATACCAGTAAAAGGAAAATTGCATTTACTGGTCACAAAACTTTGTTATCTTAAACATGGCCTCCAGATTCCCCATGTTCTGTATAAGTTCCTTTTTTTCATCTCAATCGTCGATATTACAACTTTCCTCTTAGACTTTGTTGCTTCCACACACTTTTCCGATGCCATAGTTAATAAGTAAAGGTTATATTTGGTTGTATTTTTTAAAAATTTTTTACAAGAAAAAAATTATTATTCATAAAATTGATTATTATTCTTATAGGAAAAGCGAAATCTTTACATGGGTACTATATCAAAGAAATTGAAGTTTTTACGTAATTTTAACAGTTTACTTAACGTGCATATGAGATTTAATTATAACAGTTGTGAAATTTAACATTTCGTTGATAATATGAGATTGTAATTTTTGTTTAGAAGCTTATTTTATATTTTTTAATTCACATTTTGTTTTGAATGAAATCGAGTTCTTCAATAAGGCATGTTATGATTTATAAGTTTCAGAAAGGCAATAACGTCGTACAAACAGTAAAAAAAAAACAAAATCGTATTGTACACGGAAAAGATGCTTCTTAAATTCAAACATGTCAAATGTGTTTTATATAAAGTTCCATTCAGGAAATTTAGAACCAAAGGATATAAAACGTACGGAGCGCTCTAAAGCATTCGACAATAAAAAATTGCAGGAAGAAATTGCCAAAAATTGACAAATAACGTATAACCAATATATCGAATATATATATAGTACATTGGAATATTAGAAGCTTCAGACATTTTACTTGCTGAAATAAAAATTAAAATAAGCTCAGAATACCTAGCATGTGGCCCGTAAAATTTTAAGATCAAAGCTAAATGCAAGGAACACAATCAAAGCCATTAACATCTGGACAGTTCCTGTAATTTGATACACGGTTAACATCATTAATTGGATTTAGGGAGATTTGGACAGGCTGGAGATACGCAAAACTCCCTTTATCTCCCCACTCCCTTGACCTAATAAACAAACCTCGCTGCAAAATTTTTGAAAGTTTCGACAAAAAGCAGAAGAGTTAAGCTTCAAAGAAGGTGAGCAAAATCGTGGTCCCCGAACATTTATACTTACAAAAAAAAAAAAAACCCGAATTTTTGCATTCTTCGACGCTTCAAGGTTCCCTAAGTCCAAAAATGTAAAAATCTTGCGGGAGTCATTTTTAGACCGATCTCTATACTTTTTCTCTATTATATATAAAAGTCAAAAAGTAACCTGCATATATATAACCCAACATACAAAAAATAAAGCGAAAATATCACTGAAAACATACGAGCTAACAAGCGATACAAGAAACGAATTGGGCGCACAACAAATTGCATTTACCCTTCGAGTGCATTTTTTCACTCTGTCACAGTTTAAACTTTGAAGCATCATTCTAATTCCGAAGCAAATTTTTGTTAAATTTAGCGTTCGAACTCTGAAGCTTTCGAAGTTAGAGTTGTTTGAAGTATGAGGCACCAATGTATAGTGTTGTGTAAATATAAGAGATTATTGTCAACTTAACTGTATTTTGTTTTTTCTGTATTTTAGTATACCTGGGGATATTCCTTAAGAGATAACGAAAGAGTCGCCAGAGAAAGTAAAGGAATTTATGCCACTCATAAATTCACAGATCGAGCAATCGATATTATTAAAAATCACGAAAAACAAAAGGTTTTCAATTTGTGTATTTTAAGTTATTAATTTTTNACTTTGAAGCATCATTCTAATTCCGAAGCAAATTTTTGTTAAATTTAGCGTTCGAACTCTGAAGCTTTCGAAGTTAGAGTTGTTTGAAGTATGAGGCACCAATGTATAGTGTTGTGTAAATATAAGAGATTATTGTCAACTTAACTGTATTTTGTTTTTTTCTGTGTTTCAGTATGCCTGGGGATATTCCTTAAGAGAAAACGAAAGAGTCGCCAGAGAATATAAGGGAATTTATGCTACTCGTTTATTCACAAATCGAGCAATCGATATTATTAAAAATCACGAAAAACAAAAGGTTGTTAATTTGTGTATTTTAAGGTAATTTAAGTAGAATTTCAAAGTTAGAAATCTAAATATATTTCATAATAAATTATTATCAAATAATTGTATTTTGTTTTTATTGTGTTTCAGTATGCCTGGGGATATTCCTTAAGAGATAACGAAAGAGTAGCCAGAGAATATAAGGGAATTTATGCTACTCATTTATTCACAGAACGAGCAATCGATATTATTAAAAATCACGAAAAACAAAAGGTTGTTAATTTGTGTATAATAAGTTATTAATTTTTATATTTTGTAAAATATAAAATTAATATAAATACATACGCTTGTTATTGTCTTAGCCATTATTTCTGTATCTATCACCGAATGCTGTGCACAGTGGAAACTCATATGATCTATTTCAAGCACCTCAAAGTGAAGTCTTCAAATTTGAATGTATAGAAAACCCAGATAGAAGAACTTTTGCAGGTAAATACGTTTTAAATATGCATAAAATATTAAATTGAATATGGAGATTTAATCAAACTAACTAAACTGTTTGCACATAGTAATACAATTTTTTAAAATCCGTTATCTTTTATTATTTTAGCAATGGTTTCAGAATTAGATAAGTCAGTTGGACGAGTTTTTAAGGCCTTGCAAGATAATTCTATGTTAGATAATACAATTTTTGTGATTTCTACGGATAATGGTGGAGAAGCTGCTGGTTTAAGAGGTGGAGTTGGTTCGAATTTTCCTTTAAGAGGAAATAAAATAACTTTATGGGAAGGAGGAGTGAGAGGAGTTGGACTTGTATGGAGTAAACTGTTCAAGCAACAACCNTAGAGAGGCATAAAATATCACACCTGGCCATAATTTTATTTTTTATGGACAAAATAGCACAAAAATTATGATCATTTGATATACTTTTGTCTTTATTATTGAAAAACAGTTTTACCCTCGATTTTTAGCCGTGTTGCAGAATTACAACACGTGGCCCGAATGTTCTTTTTCTGATCATATTATGTCGTTTTTTATGCCTATCGGGTTCTAATTACAACAAAACTTCTACTGCATAAACGAATAAATTCATGATTGCATAAATGGACTAATACACATCTAAGAAACATAGAATAATCACTAAAATAATACAGTTACTATTTTTGTTCACTAACAGAAAATATTGTTTCTCAAATATTTGTTTTGTGTTATGTTACTTGAGAAACAATTTTAGATACAATTGTTTGTCAAAAATTGTTTCTCAAATATTTTTATGATATTGCACTAATTCACGTTCATTATACATGAAAAACATCAGATAAAAAACAAATTTTGCATATTTTTCATATTTGACAGGAGAAAAATTAAATTTCCATCTGCAAGCTCATATAAAATCTTTACTGAGTCAAGTGCAATTTTCATTTCCACAGGCCATGCTCTTGCTATTTTCATTACGTGTATATGGCTAGCCTATTGCTCCAAAATAACATAGCGCATATTTTTCAAATCGACGTGTTTCTCCTCATTACAAACTTATAGCGAGTAAAAGAATTGAAACTGCCTTACACGATAAAAATAATAATACAGACATCCATTATATTTTTATTTAATACTGTCATTGGTTGCTTGACTCAAATATAATATCAAGTGAATATGTTAACCTCACAACTTGGATGTCGTTTTATGCAAATACGTAGTATATACCGAAATATTTATTTTATAAATATTTTATATAGAAAATAGTTATTTTTAGGATTTATTGTCATTCATATATTTTCGTAAAATTGATTGTTATATTTTTTTCTGATAAAAAGTAAATGCGTTTCAGTGGCATTTAGGGTTTTACAAAAAAGAATATTTTCCAACAAGAAGAGGATTCGATTCGTTTTTTGGGTTTTGGCCGGACGGAATGGATTATTACGAATATACTACATTTGAAACTTACGAAAATTCTACTTTAAAGGCAATTATTATTTTATATAATTCCATAGTTTCAAATCTAAATACAACGGTGCCTCGTACTCTGAATTTAATTCATTCCAGGAGGAAGTTCAAGCTTCAAAACGTTCGAAGTCCGAAACAATTTGTTCCATTAGAAATAATAAAAGAATTAATTCATTCCGAGACACAAACCTTAACTCATTTCCATAAACTTAAAACAACAAATACACACAATATAAAGTAAAAATAACACAACTAAATGCCCTAATAATAAATTAAAACACGAAAACAATAAATAAATACTGTATAATACCAGTAAAAGGAAAATTGCATTTACTGGTCACAAAACTTTGTTATCTTAAACATGGCCTCCAGATTCCCCATGTTCTGTATAAGTTCCTTTTTTTCATCTCAATCGTCGATATTACAACTTTCCTCTTAGACTTTGTTGCTTCCACACACTTTTCCGATGCCATAGTTAATAAGTAAAGGTTATATTTGGTTGTATTTTTTAAAAATTTTTTACAAAGAAAAAATTATTTTTTGTATTTATTATAAATACATATTATATTCATAAAATTGATTATTATTCTTATAGGAAAAGCGAAATCCTTACATGGGTAATATATCAAAGAAATTGAAGTTTTTACGTAATTTTAAAAGTTTACTTAATGTGCATATGTGATTTAATTGTAACAGTTGTGAAATTTAACAGTTCATTGCTAATATGAGATTATAATTTTTATTCATAAAATTGATTATTATTCTTATAGGAAAAGCGAAATCTTTACATGGGTACTTTATCAAAGAAATTGAAGTTTTTACGTAATTTTAAAAGTTTACTTAACGTGCATATGTGATTTAATTATAACAGTTGTGAAATTTAACATTTCATTGCTGATATGAAATTATAATTTTTGTATTGAAGCTTATTTATATTTTTTAATTCGCATTTCAAATCGAGTTTTTTGGTAAGGCATATTAATATAATTAAGAAGACAGAATAATGCTAGATAAGATAGAAATAAGGATATCTGGGGTTTTATCCCTTTTTTTGGCTTGTTTCTTTATGCGTACTATTGGATGGAATAACACACGTCCTTCTCCTATAACTGGCCAGTTCTCTTCTACAATAATTAGGGTTTTTCTTTCCACAGTCCTCAATACGACCTTAAAACAGGATTTTTTTCTGAACTTATTTCTGAACTATTCGGTCAATGAAAGTACGACTCCCAGTATTCTCATCTCGTCCGTACACTCTGCCGTTCGGTTTACGAATGACCTGCTACGTAACTTCTCTTTTTTCTCCGGCTCCTGCTTACACCTTTGCTCCTCAAATTTCTAGGAATTGCTCATCCCACCTAAGGGACAGGGAATAGATAAGAAAGTTCTAGAAGAAAATAGAACAATAGAACAAAGGGTAGAAAGAAGAAATGAAACTAAACTAAAATTAATATTTACAAAAATATAGTGTATCGCCACAATAGTTTAGTGCAGTGCTTCCCAACTTTTTTTGTGCTATGCCCCACCTAAACCTTTTTAAAATTCTTATGTCTCCCTAACATATACAGCGGCTATATGGTTAACTTAAACTCTGGACAAGTAGATTTTCGAATTGCCCCCTGTGGAGCGTTGGGAAACACTGGTTTGTGGCTAATGGATAGTATAGATTACGTTTGTGTTTTTGGAAAGTGTTGAGTTAAATTAAAATAAAACAATGTCGACAAAAAAGTAGTAATATGGAAATATGTTGCGATAGTGAATGACGAATGTGCTATTGCTATCTATCTTTAAAATTTCATATAAGTAATGAAATTCATTAAGATAAAAGATTCGTTAAAGATCCGCTAAAAAGTAACGGATACGGATAAGGATACGGATTTTTTTCCCCTCGGATATCCGCGGATACGGATACTGATACGGATACAGATATCCGACACATCACTAATACATACAGAAAAAAACCTGAATTTTTTCATTATTCTACGCTTCAAGTTCCTTAAGTCCAAAAATGTATAAATGTTGGGAAAGTCATTTTTAGACCGATCTCTATACTTTTCCTCTATTATATATAAAAGCCAAAAAGTAACCTGTACATAGGCTATATAATCCAACATACTAAAAATAAAGCGGAAATATCAGTGAAAACATACGAGTCTAACAAGCGATACAAGAAACGAATTGGACGCACAACAAATTGCATTTACCCTTCGAGTGCATTTTTTCACTCTGTCACAGTTTGAACTTCGAAGCATCGTTCAAACTCCGAAGCAAATTTTTGTTAAATTTAGCGTTCGAACTCTGAAGCTTTCGAAGTTAGAGTTGTTTGAAGTATGAGGCACCAATGTATAGTGTTGTGTAAATATAAGAGATTATTGTCAACTTAACTGTATTTTGTTTTTCTGTATTTTAGTCTGCCTGGGGATATTCCTTAAGACATAACGAAAGAGTAGCCAGAGAATATAAAGAAATTTATGCCACTCATTTATTCACAGAACGAGCAATCGATATTATTAAAAATCACGAAAAACAAAAGGTTGTTAATTTGTGTATTTTAAGTTATTAATTTTTATATTTTGTAAAATATAAAATTAATATAAACACATACGCTTGTTATTGTTTTAGCCATTATTTCTATATCTAGCACCGAATGCTGTGCATAGTGGAAACTCATACAATCTATTTCAAGCACCTCAAAGTGAAGTCTTCAAATTTCAATGTATAGAGAACCCAAAAAGAAGAACTTTTGCAGGTAAATACGTTTTAAATATGCATAAAATATTAAATTGAATATGGAGATTTAATCAAACTAACTAAACTGTTTGCACACAGTAATACAATTTTTTAAAATCCGTTATCTTTTATTATTTTAGCAATGGTTTCAGAATTAGATAAGTCAGTTGGACGAGTTTTTAAGGCCTTGCAACATAATTCTATGTTAGATAATACAATTTTTGTGATTTCTACGGATAATGGTGGAGAAGCTGCTGGTTTAAGAGGTGGAGTTGGTTCGAATTTTCCTTTAAGAGGAAATAAAATAACTTTATGGGAAGGAGGAGTGAGAGGAGTTGGACTTGTATGGAGTAAACTGTTCAAGCAACAACCGAGGATCGAAAGGAACTTAATTCACATCACTGATTGGTTACCGACATTTTATCATGCTGCAGGTATTCTGAGTTACTTAATCTTTTTCATCTGATGTAAGTAATAATTTATCCTGCATTAGTTATATCAAACGATCGGGCGGGGAGTGAAGAAAAGCAGCGCGAAACGTTTTACGACGCACGAATTAGTAGCAGACTCCTAACGTCTCCTACAGAGAAAGCTGAAGCACTAAAATGTGTCGTCACAACTTTCCATCCCAAGTGATCAGTTTTTAATTTTTAAAGAAATTTCCTTATTTTTCAAAAATCGTGTGACTAAAGATTATTATTTAGGCTAGTATTTCAAACGCTTTTTTAAATTTTAATATTTAATCCAAATGGTTTCAATAAACTTCATACAAATTATATGCAATGTCTGAATAAATCAAATTCTAAATCAATGATACAGTTTAAGATTATTGCAAATTATAAAGTTTAAATAATATTATAATATAAAATACCTAAATTGAATAAGTATTTTTTAAGTGTTTGAAGCTTACACTTCTTTTTGATTTTCTTAGCAACAGTACTACAGTAGAGCGTCGATTTTCCGAAAGTCAATTATCCGAAACGTCAATCATCCGAATGAATTCCAGTCGGCAAATTTAAATTTTCGCCAGTACTGTGGCGCTTCAATCTTTGGCTATGTCTTGGGCTACTCAAATATTTTACGTTTTTGATACTAAATTAACATATGAAGTATAATTTTTTTATTATTTTTATATTTTTCAATATATTTATTTTGTTTGTACAAAATAAAAAAATAATTTTTAACGATACAATAGTCTTTGTTATGCTTAACATCGACGAAAATTCAACGCGAAGCGACACGTAACGGATAAAAATTTCGACATCGGATACGTTAAACTATTTTTTCGTACGTAAATCAATTATTCGAAATATCAGTTATCCGGACAACCCCAGTCCTTAATTTATTCGGAAAATCGACGCTCTACTGTATTATTTTTTAAGTTCACAATAATGGCCTGGGCGAAGACCAGACTTCTGTATTAACTTTTTTACCTTTGTGTCTATTTTTTTAAAATTTCCACGTTAAATTTTGATGATTTTGGTTTCAAAATTTCCGGTAGAACCCTGGCATGTGCATAAATTACATTTTGGAAAATATAATGAGACTCAGAAAAAAAATTTATTCAAGAAACGAAAGTGTTGCCTTTCGCCTCTTTGACGTTTAATAGCAAAAAAGTATTTTGACATTTTTGGATGCTGGAATATACAGCCAGACAGTTTCTTGATATTTGTCCAGAATTTCGGTTGAACTACGGGAATGTTATCCAAGTTCTAAGAAACAGGAATGAATTTTACGTCCCTCATTCCCACTAGATGGCACCACATTACTTTGCTATTCTATTGCCTCTGCTGTAAACGTAGGCCCTATGCCCGGACTAGTACAGATTTAAACGAATTGTCATTTCTTTTCGTCAACATGTCAGCAATTACTCTCAACTCCTTTCTATCATTTTATCAGAAATTTTAAACCTTTATGTAACTATTTAAAACATGTTTTTTATTCGTGTCAAGCGACTCACCGACGTTACGTTTAAGACACAGTTCCCCCAGTCTCATCCACAGACTTTTAAACAACTAGATGTGACTTAACTAGTTGTTAAAAAGTTGTCTGTGGATGAACGCATGCAGTACAGATATCTTTTGCTTAACGCGAGATTTGATTAACGCGCGAAATTAATTGCGACAATCTCTTTATTTACGCGGCTTTACTAACTGTCTTTACTAAACATAGATANTTTGTGATTTCTACGGATAATGGTGGAGAAGCTGCTGGTTTAAGAGGTGGAGTTGGTTCGAATTATCCTTTAAGAGGAAATAAAATAACTTTATGGGAAGGAGGAGTGAGAGGCGTTGGACTTGTATGGAGTAAACTGTTTAAGCAACAACCGAAGATCGAAAGGAACTTAATTCACATCACTGATTGGTTACCGACATTTTATCATGCTGCAGGTATTCTGAGTTACTTATTATTTTTCATCTGTTATAAGTACGCCTAATAATTTATCCTGCATTAGTTATATCAAACGATTCGGGAGTGACGAAAAGCAGCGCAAAGCGTTTTACGACGCACGAATTAGTAACAGATTCCTAACGTCTCCTACAGAGAAAGCTGAAGCACTAAAATGTGTTGTAACAACTTGCTGTCCCAAGTGATTAATTTTTAAAGAAATTTCCTTATTTTTCAAAAATCGTGTCACTAAAGATTATTATTTAGGCTAATATTTCAAACGCTTTTTTAAATTTTAATATTTAATCCAAATGGTTACAATAAACTTCATACAAATTATATGCAATGTTTGAATAAATCAAATTTTAAATCAATGATACAGTTTAAGATTATTGCAAATTATAAAGTTTAAATAATATTACAATATAAAATACATAAATTGAATAACTATTTTTTAAGTGTCTGAAGCTTACACTTCTTTTTGATTTTCTTAGCAATAGAACTATTATTTTTTAGGTTCACAATAATGGCCTGGGCGAAGCCCAGACTTTTGTATTAACTTTTGCACTTTTGTGTCTAATTTTTTTTAAATTTCCACGTTAAATTTTGATGATTTTGGTTTCAAAATTCTCGGTATAACCCTAGCATGTGCATAAATTACATTTTGGAAGATATAATGAGACTCAGAAAAAAAAATTTATCCAAAAAACGAGTGTTGTCTTTCGCCTCTTTGACGTTTAATAGCAAAAAAGTATTTTGACATTTTTGGATGCTGGAATATAAAGCCAGACAGTTTCTTCATATTTGTCCAGAATTTCGGCTGAACTACGGGAATGTTATCTAAGTTCTAAGAAACAGGAATGAATTTTACGTCCCTCATTTCCACTAGATGGCACCACGTTACTTTGCTCTTCTATTGCCTCTGCGGCCCTATGCCCGGACTAGTAACGATTTAAACGAATTGTCATTTCCTTTCGTCAACATGTCAGCAATTACTCTCAACTCCTTTCTATCATTTTATCAGAAATTTTAAACCTTTATGTAACTATTTAAAACATATGTTTTTATTCGTGTCAAGCGACTCGCCGACGTTATGTTTAAGACACAGTTTCCTCAGTCTCATCCACAGACTTCTAAACAACTAGATGTGACTTATCTAGTTGTTAAAAAGTTTTCTGTGGATGAACGCATGCAGTACAGATATCCTTTGCTTAACGCGGGATATGATTAACGCGCGAAATCAATTGCGACAATCTCTTTATTTACGCGGCTTTACTAGCTGTCTTTACTAAACATAGATACGTATTTTGTTTAACGCGATTTTTATATAGGCGATAGGATCGAGGGATTAATTAACTGCATTAATCAAGAGATTTTTGTACGTGTTTTACAATTAATGTTTAGTTGCGTGTGTTGTATTCTGAATTTATGTAAAGTGAATTGTTTTTGAGGAAACTATCACTTAAATGTTAAACAATGCCTTGCTGATTGCTATGCCTAAAAAATTCAATTTTAAATTCTGCTGAAAGTAACTTTTTAACAGTAATAAGTGGGGTAATTATATATGGCAATATTAAAATCACCAGATTGAGGATATAAACTATTCAGGCCGACTTATTTCAGCGTATATAAAATTATATACATTACATAAAATAACTACATTTAATTACATTGTATATTAAACAAAACATTTAATGCACTATGCTTTTAAGATAAAATTAATGTTAACCTTAATAATTAAAATATAAATTCTGTTAATTTGATTGTAGTTTCTTAATTTTACAGGTTGGAAATCACTTATCAATTTAACAAGATTATTCACATTATTTTACAGCCTATAAAGTTTGTTTTTAGTCGAATTTGCAAAGTAACTTTGTAAAGATATTCATCGAAAAGATTATATGACGATAAAGATAAATAATTGATTAAGTTGAATATTACTAATCTTACACGCAATTTATAACTGGTGTTTTGTACTTAAAAATGTGTCCTGAAATGTATTAAATTATTGTTTGCAATGTGAACCATGAAGCAGCAATTGCACATTTGGTAAGCAAAGTTAATTTTTGTCTATCAAAAAACTAATTCATTAGGAAAATGAACTTCTACTTCTTTATTTGATTCAAGCCAATTTTGAGAAATTATACATTTCTTTTTTCGCTGTATAGCCTGAAATATACTCGTAAATGAAAATTGGTAACATAGATTCAGGTAAATTTTGGAAGAAAAATTCATTCTGAAATATTGTATAAAATTGGTCTAATATAAACAGAATTTTAAAAGTTTTTTTTTGTAAGGCAATACTGTTTTTAATTAAATATCATGACCTTTATCTGATAAAATTACAAAGCTTTAAAATATTAATTTTTTTTCACTTTCTAATAACCTCGTGTAACTTATATNTAATTACATTGTACATTAAACAAAACATTTAATGCACTGTGCTTTTAAGATAAAATTAATGTTAACCTTAATAATTAAAATATAAATTCTGTTAATTTGATTGTAGTTTCTTAATTTTACAGCTTGGAAATCACTTATCAATTTAACAAGATTATTCACATTATTTTACAGCCTATAAAGTTTATGTTTTTAGTCGAATTTGCAAAGTAACTTTGTAAAGACATTCATCACAAAGATTATATGACAAGATAAATAATTGATTAAGTTGAATATTACTAATCTTACGCGCAATTTATAACTGATGTTTTGTACTTAAAAATGTGTTCTGATAATTATTACATTATTGTTTGCAATGTGAACCATGAGCAGCAATTGCACATTCAGTAAGTAAAGTTAATTTTCGTCTATCAAAAAATTAATTCATTAGGAAATTGAACTTCTACTTCTTTATTTGATTCAAGCCAATTCTGAAAAATTATACATTTCTTTTTTCGCTGTATAGCCTGAAATATACACTCGTAAATGAAAATTGGTAACATAGATTCAGGTAAATTTTGGAAGGAAAATTCATTCTGAAATATTGTATAAAATGGGTCTAATATAAACAGAATTTTAAAAGTTTTTTTTGCAAGGCAATACTGTTTTTAATTAAATATCATGACCTTTATTTGATAAAATTACAAAGCTTTAAAATATTAATTTTTTTTCACTTTCTAATAACCTCGTGTAACTTATATAATAATTAGACCAACTTAACTGCCTGTAAGGCCAAGACTCTACTATTGTTAAAACTGGCGTAAAACGTCACGCCGTAAAAGATCGTAAAACCAGAGTAAAAGCGAGTTGAGCAGTGTTCAACTTTCGATGCCAATACGGCCGTAAAACGGTACCATCCACCAATCAGAAGTCAGTGAAATCTAGCACACTTATTTCACTGTATATTATCTTAATTAATAATATGATAATAAAAGTCAATATATGAAAGTAAAGATATTATTTTTACTACATTTGTAATTATAGTACAGAAAAAACTCGTAGAATATAATCATTGTCTTTATAACTTCGATAGTATCGTCGCCCTAAAACCTTCGCTAGCCTAGCCGGACCTCCACCGCAATCCAGACGCAAACGCAAATAGGTCTCGTGATTAAAAGTTTTTACGTTCATTTTTACGCTAGTGGAGTCTTGGCCTAACATCCAAATACTGTAATTCCTCTACGTTATCATTCTGAAACTTTGACAACAGAAGATAGTTTAAATTGTAATTATCAAACATATATGGAATCAGTTTCACAAAACCTTTTTTTACAATTTAACATTAACAGATTTTTTGGAAACTTACTTGTACTTAGATTATAATTGTTAACGTAAATATAAAAATTTAAACTGCTGGTCATTTTGTAATAATGAGCAATTACTTTTTACCGGATTCTTATTTTGTAATGTGTTACAGTGTCTTGGAGATTTGTATTGTCCTATCTTCACCGTATTTTCGTTTGGATAGGTACAGTACAGATGATTTCAAATCGATAATTTTGTTTAAACCGTCGCGACGGTTTAAACCAAATTATCGATATGAAATCAACTGTACCTATAAACATTTTAATTAATAATAGTGAATGGAGTGACTAAAAGACACGATAAAAAAGAAAAGTTATTAAACGAAAACCTCGAGATATTCGGGGAGGTTAGAAAAAAATTTCACAAAACCTTTGAGACATTCATCACGAGACGATATGATATTTTGATTCTGTTTTCCAGCTAGAATATAATCAGAATTTAACTTTATAAGAGTAAATCTTTTTCTTCCTTTACTTATTTAGAGTTGTAAATGTCATTTAAACAACTTTAATAAATGTTTTTTTAGAAAATAAACATTGAATATTATAATTTCTTGAGATGAAAACATAGCTTATTGCGTCACCAAGACTGATTCGTGACGTCACAAGTCTTCACGCTACTACTCGCGGTTCCCCTTTATATTTGATTATACACTTTATTAAGCTTTACTTTTTATTAGGTGGTGATGTTAGACATTTGACGGATATTTATGGAATAAATCAATGGGAGGTTTTAGCTCACGGCAAACCTACATCTCGAGAAGAAATTCTTCATAATATAGATCCAATCGACGGTGCTTCAGCTCTTCGATTCCGAAATTACAAACTGGTAAATGGATCGAATTTAATGGAGAATACAATGCGTGGTACGGACCTTCCGGTAGAGACGATGATTATTTCTCTTCCTGCTACAAAAAGTTACTTCGCTCCTCATATTCTTGGAAAGTTCTTAAAGAGGAAGGCTTACTCTACAATACTGACAAGTTTTTCACCAGATTGCCAGATAACTGTTATTCTGACTCGAAAAGGAATAATAGTAATTGTGATCCTAATTCAGCCCCATGCTTATTTGATATATTAAAAGATCCTTGCGAACTGGAAAATATTGCGAACGAACAACCAAAGGTAAGAAAAATTATTTTATATATCATAAAATTAATTGATTGAAGTAACTGACTCTTAAAAACATTTCCACCTCCTGTGCATTAATCGGATGGTCGAACGGTTAAAGTGCCACTTACTGTCCTGGGGACCAAGGAATCATTCCGGATAAGTTAAAAAACTCAAGCCTGGTACCCACATGCGGCAACTGACGACGGAAACGGTCGACGGAACGGCAAAATAACGTCACTTTTGCCTCCGTCGTCGACGGAATACGAAGTTGAAAATTTTCAACTTTTGCCGCGACGGAAAGCGGCACGGTAAAAATTAGACCAATAGGAAGACCGTTTAGCAATGTCTTCATAAAGATGACGTGGGACGATAGCATTCGAACTATTGCGGTCGAAAGTATTCGATATTCCTAACTTTCGACGGTTTAGAACATTTTTCCTATCCAAATTATTCGTTTTTGAGGTTTTTTTTATTTGCGATAAGATTGAAGGCAAACTTTAAAAGTTTAATCGATATAACAAATCAATCCCGGTAAACGCCATTTTCGACNAACCGTCGCGACGGTTTAAACAAAATTATCGATTTGAAATCAACTGTACCTATAAACATTTTAATTAATAATAGTGAATGGAGTGACTAAAAGACACGATAAAAACCAAAAGTTATTAAACGAAAACCTCGAGATATTCGGGGAGGTTAGAAAAGAATTTCACAAAACCTTTGAGACATTCATCACAAGACGATATGATATTTTAATTCTGTTTTCCAGCTAGAATATAATCAGAATTTAACTTTATAAGAGTAAATCTTTTTCTTATTTACTTATTTAGAGTTTTAAATGTTATATAAAGAACTTTAATAAATGTTTTCTAAAAAATAAACATTGAATATTTTATAATTTCTTAGATGAAAACATAGCGTATTGAGTCAGCAAGACTGATTCGTGACGTCACAAGTCTTCACGCTACTACTCGCGATTCCCCTTTATATTTGATTATACACTTTATTAAGCTTTACTTTTTATTAGGTGGTGATGTTAGACATTTGACGGATATTTATGGAATAAATCAATGGGAGGTTTTAGCTCANCAATTACTTTTTCCTGGATTCTTATTTTGTAATGTGTTACAGTGTCTTGGAGATTTGTATTGTCCTATCTTCACCGTATTTTCGTTTGGATAGGTACAGTACAGATGATTTCAAATCGATAATTTTGTTTAAACCGTCGCGACGGTTAAACCAAATTATCGATATGAAATCAACTGTACCTATAAACATTTTAATTAATAATAGTGAATGGAGTGACTAAAAGACACGATAAAAAAGAAAAGTTATTAAACGAAAATCTCGAGATATTCGGGGAGGATTAGAAAAAAATTTCACAAAACCTTTGAGACATTCATCACGAGACGATATGATATTTTGATTCTGTTTTCCAGCTAGAATATAATCAGAATTTAACTTTATAAGAGTAAATCTTTTTTTCCTTTACTTATTTAGAGTTGTAAATGTCATTTAAACAACTTTAATAAATGTTTTTTTAGAAAATAAACATTGAATATTATAATTTCTTGAGATGAAAACATAGCTTATTGCGTCACCAAGACTGATTCGTGACGTCACACGTCTTCACGCTACTACTCGCGGTTCCCCTTTATATTTGATTATACACTTTATTAAGCTTTACTTTTTATTAGGTGGTGATGTTAGACATTTGACGGATATTTATGGAATAAATCAATGNTTGGTAAATATTTTAATCACTATAAACATAAAATGTAAACTATAACATTAATATTTGTAATTGATAATCAATAAATATTTGAGGTTTAAAATAATGCTTTTGTTTTCATTTTTCTGGTCTTTCAGTGTTTTATTATTATTATACTTACCGTAGGTTCTGCCAGACTCATTATAGATGCGGTCGGATGGTGAGGGACGGGACCCACCATATTGGAGACAACCGCCTATGAATAACTACGTGTTACGATTTTACATCTTTGTCAAAAAAAATTTTTAACTGTATGCTACAAAACAATTTTATCGTTTATAGACTAAAGATGGGTGGGCAAAAACTGTAAACTGCAATTTTTAATTATATTTCAAATTTACTTAATTTAAAATATGTGAAATTAGCAGTGGCTTGTCTCTGTGCATGATACTTTTCCTTTAACAATAGAGTCGTGCCGGTCTATCTAACTCCTTTCGGGGAAAAATTTTTAACTGAAATAACGTGACTTGCGGTTTGCATCGGAATTCCTGTATATTTAATCGAGGCCTCTTCCCCTGGGGTTTTCATATTTGATCTCGTCTCTCGTCTGTCTAAGTCCGTTCTCGAGATTAATGGAAAACAGCCAGACAAATGGCAACATTGGGGATTCATAGGTTTACAATGTTTTCAAATCGCTGCCCGATGACACCGCACATTTCGTCGACATGAAAATACGATAAGTGAAAGAAAAGCAAAGAAGAAAGTGACACCAGTGTTCAGGAATACAAGAAATTTTCTTGAAATAAAAAAATTGTGGATTGAAAACTCAGTTTGAAAACGAGTTTTAAATTTGAATGCTGACATTCGTTACTGGATGGCGAGATATAGACAAAATGTAAGACGATTTATGGAAGAAACTTTTAAGAAATTCGTAGGAGGAAAACGTTCCAGATGGACTTGAACTGAAAGTTTTAAAATTCGAGAAGCCGTTTTGTAAATAAATGGTGTAGAGCTGTAAAACTCCAGCAATAAACGTGCAGAATTTTTAATAAAAGCCGAACGTCAACAATGGAAAAGTTTATGCTTGTTTCTTACAATCTATAACAGTGTTTCCCAAACTTTTTTAGGCCATGCCCCACTTTAACATTTCTAAAATCATCATGTCCCCCATACATAATTTTAGTTATAAAATTTATTTTTGTTCTTTTTAGTAATATGAATGATAATTTTAAAGCGATTTCTTACAACTGTTGTCAAAACAAAGAAACGAACTTTTAATAAATAAAAAAATAATAGATTTTAAAAACTTACTTTAATGTGATTTGTGGACTTGATGCTTTTTACACAGCGATTTTATATCTGGTTCAAGCTTAGTTAGCTTAAGTCTCAAATCTCCACGTTGTGTTATATCCAGACGATTTCTTTTTTTAATCAACAAATCACTCACAGCACTAAAGCCACATTCAGCTAGATATGAAGATGGAAACGGTAATAAGAGTTTTCTTGCACATTTTGTGGTATTGGGGTATTTAGCCTCTGTTTCATCGCAAAGCCATGCCATCGCACCTTTAATATTAAATAGAGTTATTACAGATTCGTCACTTTGCAACTCCGCGAGTTCTTCTTGATATTGCAGATTGGATATATCAGCTAAATCCACCAAAACTGGTTGCACCATCCATGTCGGAAAATTCATTTCTTTTAAATCAGCAAATCTCTCTTTAAAATCCGTAATTAAAATTTTTAAATGATTAACAATTTCAAGTATTGCGGAGTCAGAAACATCACACTTGTTAAGCCAATGAAACTGTTCAAAATTTTTGTTGCTGACGTGTTTTTGATTTAATTCTAAATTCTTAATAAAACCAAATATTTTTGCTTTGGCATCAACCAGTGTTTTGTTTGGTCCTTGCAGTTGCTTGTTTAACAAATTTAGCTTCTCAAAGATATCGGCTAAATAACTTACATATGCTTTGCCATTTGTTGTCAACAATAATTTCATTTCAGGCTTATCAATTAAAAACTTTTCAAGCGAATCGAACAACTCAATAAATCGTTTCAAACAATTCCCTTTTGAAAGCCACCTTACTTCAGTGTGTAGTAACAATCGTACGTGGTCTTCATTTTGTTCCTCACAAAATAGCTTAAATAAGCGCTCGGTTTTAGCGCTGGCTTTTATTGAGTTAATGCATTTGATAACTGCATTGAGTACTTCATTGAGAATAGGAGACACGTTTTTAGCCACCAAGTTTTCTTTATGGATAACACAGTGAATAAGTATCATTTCTGGATTATCAGCTTTCATCAATTGTAAACAACCATTTTTTTTGCCCATCATATTGGGGGCACCATCGGCAGCACACGAAATAACATTCTTCATGGGGATCTCATTGTCATCCAAGTAGCATTTGAATATGTTGTAAATGTCTCTCGATTTGGTAGTGCTTTCTAATTGTTTACAAAAAAGCATTTCTTCTGCAAACTGTCCACGTTCAATATACCTGACATAAGTGATAAGAACGGCCTCACTGTCTCTTAGGGTTGACTCGTCCATCTGCACAGAGAAATTTCTGGTTTTTAGTTTCGATACGAGTTGTTTCTCAATGTCTTCGCCCATCTCGTCGATCCTTCGGCTGACAGTATTGTTACTGAGAGGCATCGCTTTTACATCCTCGTCATCTTTTTCTAGAACAGTTTTCATAAAAGCAGAAATTGAGGGCTTTATAAGATTCTCCCCTATTGTGTGGCTTTTCCCTGATTTAGCAATTAACAATGAAATTTGGTAACTAGCCTCTTGAATACGACTATTTGTTACATTTCTAGACGTGAAGATTGAAGTAATTGTCGTCCTTTTCTCGAACTTTTCCTTTAATGTTTTGAAGAAACTTAAATCTGAATTAATATAGTCCTTGTGTTTGGCCTTCAAATGTGCTTCAAGCCGACCCAATTTCATAGATTCGTTTGTCAAACATTGCTGGCATATCAAGCAAAACGGCATCCTCTCATCGTGAACTGCTGGTATAAATCCATATTTTAGATATTCCTCTGAATATTGACGAACTTTCTTTTTTGTTGTTCCACTCATTTTTTATGGGCTAAAAAAATAATAAAATTTTGTAAAAATAATTCAATGTGACAGAGTAAACGTAAATTTAGAAAAAATTGTTTTTGTGTAGATATAACACATTTTGCCGCAAGTGATACTTGGGATAAACGCAAGCCCTGAAGATTCCAGCAGACCAGATTGCAAGATTTTAATACTTCTGGACTCCTTTATCAAAGACACTGCTATTAGAGATATCTAAACTAACAAAAAAAGCACAATTAATTAGTTTTTAAATAT